CACTAATCACATTGGCACTTTTAAGTAGTATAGATTTTCGACAGGGTTATATAGAACCAAAAAAATTTGAGTGCCAGAAGCATAATATGTCGTTTACTAGAAATCAAGTAACTTGATCATACGTAAGCATATGCACATACTTGTAATGATTCCATTAATTTCTTTAGGTAATCCAAGGAGTATATGTGGACTATGTATCACCATCTATAACTTATATTTATAACCTTAGACAGGCGATCTCCTTATCGCTTATGGACTGTCACTCATATGAGACTGTCTTCGCGCTGTTAGGGTGGGGAAAGAACGTCCACACTAACGTTCCTGGAGAATGATGTGAAGTCGTGTGGGATGACCCCACCGTGTGTCATCAAGACCTTATACATTAGAGATTGATATATAGATTAATAGATCATCCACACTAGCGTTCCTGAAACAAAGGGGTGAAGTCATGTGGGATGACTATATAGATTTGCAAGTAACCTCCACACTAGTGTTCCCGAAGCACAACGTGAAATAGTGTGGGACGACTAATAAATCTGCAAAGCACTTCCATACTAATGTTCTTGAAGAACAACTTGAAGTCGTGTGTGATGAATAATGCAACACTCATTCTCTTTTGAAAAAGGTGACGAGATATCAAATAAGCTTGCAAGGATAGATGTCCTAAAAGGACGAAAGACAAGTAGGCCATCAATCCCTGCTAACCAGTCTTGTCTCCCTGCCCAGAAGAGGGGGAGAGCAATGGAATCAAAGGATTCTTATCCCCGGAAGTGGATAAATGTCCAATAATCGAATCCAGTTAGCACTAGTACCAATGGAATCCCACCTGATCCATCTCGTACAATAATTCCGAATTATGGATTCGTTCTGCAGACGAAGTCGGGGGACGCCTCGACATCAATATTCATTCCCTAGAATAGGAAAATCTCAGTTAGTTATTCATGCATGAATGAGATGTAGCATCGGGCTGAAATCATCATCGATGACATATTTATTTACACAGTAGCTACTAAACTTATATTGAGTGATGAGATAAAACCTCTATCAATTGGTAAGTTTAAATAAAGGGATGATGAGCCGAAATGAGAAAAAAATAATTCAAGTTGAGTTTGATTCCTTGGTGAAACAAAGACTTTAGAGATCTGTAGTTCCTACACCTCCTTGAATTTTACCGATGTGATATAAGTGAGTACTCACAAGAAAATGAAGGAAATTGGAACCAGAAAATTCATATCGTAGCTCAAACGAGATTGGGAGCCAGAAGAATCATCTCATAACTCAAGCAAATAAACGGGATTGGAAGCCAGAAAGCTCATCTCATACCTCAAACGAGATTGGAAGCCAGTAAACTCATCTCATAGCTCAAGGGATGAAATGAGATTGGGAACCAGAAGATTCATCTCATAGCTCAAACGATATTGGGAGTCAGAAGACTCATCTCATAACTCAAGGAAATAAACGAGATTGCGAGGCAGAAAACTCATCTCATACCTCATAAGAGATTGGGAGCCAATAAGATCATCTCATAGCCCAAGGAATAAAATGAAATTGAGAATCATAAGATTCATCTCATAACTCAAACGAGATCAAGAGCCGGAAGTCTCATCTCACATCTCAAAGATTGAAACGAGATTGGGAGCCAGAAGATTCATCTCATATATCAAGGAAATAAATGGGATTGGGAGCTAGAAGACTCACGTCATTGTACAAGGAAATAAATGAGATTGGGAGAAAAGATACTCATCTTATAGCACAAATGAATAAATGAGATTGGGAGTTAGAAGACTCATCTCATAGCACAATGATTTCCTCAGCGACCTGAGGTTAACTTTAATAAGAGATACTCTCCCACGATGAATGTTATTCAATATGTGGTCACAACGTATCTTATGGGGATCTAGATATAAGTATTTATATAAAAGTCACAGAACGACTTCGATTTTCCTAAGCAATTAGTCCCAGACCACGGAACATAAACTCAGTTGAGCTGAGATGTTCACTTTAATTATGACTTCAACTATTCCGAAAAAATATAGGATAATCGCCTAAGTGAAAAATTGTTCGGGAGAGAATATATGAAAAACAATGGGTTTTGATTGTTCATATTACTATAGTTTATGTCGAGGATATGAACTTGAATGAGACTCCTGAAGAAGTCAAGTAAACAACTCAATTCTTGAAATTTGAGTTCGAGATCAAAATCTAGATAAGACTAATTTTCTCTCTCTCTCCGACTTGAAATTTATAATCCCGATTAGATTTTGGTCCATTAATAGAAGTACATCCAGAAGTTGTTAAGATGTTTTAATGCGAACAAAGTGAAACTATCGACTAACTCCCACATGGAAGTTCGACAGTTAGATAGGTCGAATGATTTAGTCCGTCCTGTGGAGGAGGACGATGAAGTTTTAGCACTTGAAGTGCGATGTCTAATTAAGTGCAATATGTGCATTATTGTACTTAACTCCGTGTACTCTATATGATTTAGCATTTTTGATAAATTTATTAGGTAGACTTAGTTCTCCTTACCACCACGCCGTATGCATCACTGGATGGAAGCGAAGCTTGTGGTTTATATTGGCATTCACTAGAAGTCATATCCACATAAAGCGCGTTCCCATTGTATGGTTTAGTATTGGAAAAATAGCTATGTCTTGGGGTCTATGAAATGTGCCTTAGTTGTCAGTAGGTCGAATCATGCATGATGTTTGCTTCATGAGATACTGAGTGAATGCACATGGCCTTAAGCCATGATTGGGCATGTTCAAGATTCCTGTGAATTGGCTAATACAGAAGATTCTATGAGGTTGTATTTGCCTGTAATGCAGCGTGCATTGAGAAAATGAAGGTGGGCTTCATTAAATGTGACAAGTCCAAGAACATAGTTATGAGGTTTTTATCAATCAACAAAATTAAGAGTTCAAACAATAATGATCCTGCAGATCATGAGCAATGATAACTATGTTGGTTTATTTACTTAGTCTTTGTCTAAAGTAACTTTGAAAAAACATGTCAAAGCTATTGACTTGCGTAGATTATACGAGCTCGCTCTCTTGTAAACATCAGGAGGAGTTAACGTGAGAGGCAGTACCCTGTAGGTACTCAGTACCAGAAGATACCCGGGTGCCTTATTGTACTATTTTTCCTTCGTGCGAGATTTATTTTTTCCACGAGGTTGTCGTTACTCGCCAAGGTTTTAACGAGACAACTCATGCACATTGAAAAGATTGTACGTTGTACTCTTTTTCCTAACCGACGTTGTTTTTTCCCACTGATTTTTTATTACTCGAAAGGTTTTAACGAGGCAACATGAAAAACGCAGCAGTATTTGATAGGAATCCACAATGGGCAGTGTTGTAAATAATATAGAAAAGTGGGTCATCCTATCCTAACACGTGAGAGGTTGTAACCTCAATATTCCACTATTGATTCTCAACTTCCCACTACCCCATTATCCCCGTATGTTGTAGTGGTTGTAACCCACAGTTATCTCTCTACGATTGTCTCTCTTGTTTTTTCTTTTGAGTTCTCTCCTTCTCTTTCTCTTTATTTACGTTCTTATGTATTTCCACAATCACTAAACCAAAGATTTTGATTAAATAGTTCATTTCACAACAACAATATACATAAACTGAACAATTTTCCAATTTTTAAATCAGCAGCAATTTTAAACAAAATTATACAACTCAGATTTTCGCAAGTATATCAAAACCGGCAAAAATTCAGGGAAGTCAAGCATTTAAATTGATGCATAGTTAGTTCTTTTATATGCATACGACAAAATTTTATTCGAAAATCATAATGACAATGTTCTGAACTGCATAATCTATCTAGGGGTGAGAAAAAAATCGAAAAACCGAACCAAAAAATTGAAAAACGAGCCGTTTCAAGCCGTACCGAATAGCAAACCGCATGTACGGTTTTTTATTTTGAAATACCGAATTATTCGGTTCAGTATGGTGGAAAGGTAAATCACCGAACCGAAAAACCGAACCGAACCGAACCGAAATTATAAAATGACTTCATTTTATATAATATATGTGTTATTTTTACCCTAATTTTTATTTTCTATCTTTCAATTACTCGTCTCATTCTAAGAATTTGTTCATAAATTGAGAAATTGTATTTTATTTATTTAGTAATTAAAAATTTACTTGAGCTCATGGTTTTAATAATGTGGTAGATGAAAGTAGGAAAAAAAAAATGAAGTATAATAAATAATCTAAATTACGTTAGGCCTTATGGGATTAAGGGTGTTTATATTTTCGTTGCATTAGTAAGTTGTGAAAGTACTTGTATCCTTTTGATTGTACAATTTGAATATATAGTTACTCTTGAACCAAAAAATAACCGAAACCGAACCCAAAAAAATCGAAACGGAACCGAACCGATAAAATACCGAGATATACGGTTTCTAATTTTATAAAAACCGATATAATCGGTTCATGTTCGGTTTTAGCCAAAAACCGAACCGAACCGAGCCGTGCACACCCCTAGCATAATCTGATTGAATTCTATAATGGAAGCTCACGTTATAATCAATATTAAACAAGCTAAAATTATACAATCTTCCAATTTTCAAATCCTAAACTTCCTAGGCAGCAATTTTATACAAACTTATACTACTAAACAAATTTTGCACACAAAGCATATTCGGATGTTCGAATGCTACTTCTTCAAGTTGGGATAGCGATCCTAGAACCATTCCGGTATATAAACACAATATTGCAAGAAACCGGGCGCACTTAATTGATGCATAGTTCTTTTATACATATTACAACACTTCATTACAAAATGATAATGACAACGTCGTGAAACGAATAATCTGATTGAATTTTATAAAGAAAGCTCACCTTAATATTAAACGAGCTAAACACAACAGAAATCCAAGCTAAAAAAAACAAGTAGCGTCTAATTAATAATTTAAAAACAAATTATAGATTGAGCATCCAAGAAGCCTTCATCATCCAGTCAATATATATCAAACTAGACTGCGAGTCTTAATCTATAACAATAACTCGTCTCCTCCTGGAAACAGCATTCAGATTAGTGAAGAATAGACTATTCTTATACGGGTCCAAATCAACGAAACACAACTCATCGTCTACAAATTCTTCGAAAGTATTGTCACAAAGGCTATATATTAGAAATCTTGCACTTTCCAATCGAATCACAATCTTGTCTTCCAGAAAGCAAAGTGGCCTAAACGACCAAATCGAAGTCTGCACATTCTCAATAACCGAGAACTCGTTCCAGCAGTTCTTGAAGCTGCTGCCCTTTTCCTTAATCCAGAACCGAACCTTCGTCTCATCCCCTAAAGCATTGCAGTACAAACACAGACTATCTTTCAAACAAGCCACGGAGACATGGTCCTCGTCGGTTAGTTGTTTAGGCTTCTGCAATCTCTTGAGCTTGTCGATTCTTGAATCGAAATACACCACGTGTCTAACATCCTCTTTGTCTCTCCAAACCCAATAATAAGCTCCGTCAGCAAAAACCCCCGAATGGGTCCCTTTGAACGGGAACCCTACCCTACGAGTCCAAGTATCGGTCTTGCAACAAAAAACAGCGTAATTCTTTCCGGCAGCGAAAACAACCTTGAAATCGTGGATCGCAGGATCGTAACAGATCCCGTAATTCATATCCTCGTAAAAGGTGTATCTGAAAGTGAAATACGTCTCCGTACGAGTGGATGGATTCCACAATGCGTAGCACGTGGGCTTGAAATAGGAATCGGTTAACAGAAGCACTCCGTTGCAATGGCATAACACTGTATTCCAGCCATATGGGCCGCTTAATACAGCTTCTCTGTGGAATTTTTTAGCTTCTAATTTAAGCAAAGAAAAAGCTCCTTGAAAAGATCTGTTCTTGATTAGAAAGAGATGCGGAGAATTCGAGAATTGAAGATGGGTGTGGGTGAAAACAGGATCGGAGATAATGGAATTCCATGATTTGGAAACTGATTTAAACCTAAGAAGAGACTTAATCGGTAGGTGTAGTAGGATAATTTCGATGATCTCGTTCGGAAGATTTGAGGTATGGTGTTCTATTGACATGGCCGATTGATTACTTTGCCGATGTTCTTTCTGGTTTTAGGGTTTGTAGAGCTAAATGAATTGAGGCGCGTGGTTTTTTGATTTTGGGTGTTTCCTGCTGCAGGCGTTGGGCTCAAATAAAAGGCGTAGTTTTCAATTGCGTGAATTGCGTTTTGCACCCCGGGATTAACAGTGTTTGGCATTTTACACCCTATCATTTGAAAATTGGCCAAGTCCAACCTCACAAAATACATCTCATTTCTCAATTTGTTGTGATATTTTTGCCAAAACTTAATAATATATCGTCATATTTTACACATTTGAAGAATTTTCATTCTTCTATGTTTTGTTTTCTTACTTAATATTTATTTTAATTATTTGAGTTGTATATAAAATTTAAAAAAAAACGTAACTGGTGATTTATGTCTTGCATAAAGAATTTATATAAAAATCCTAATTCAATTTTTATTTTCAAAATGTCCTAATTTTCCATAAAATTAATACATATTAAAAAAATAGAATGAGAACTGTTGGACATTATTATTATTTTTTAAATGTGTAGTTAAATGGATTAATTAAAATAAGGCTTTATGTATATTTTTGTTAAACTAAAAACTTTAATATACCATCAAGCATGAAAATCCCTTCAAAAGTTAATATATTGTGACATATTGATTTTTGGGTTAAACTCTCATAAAGAATTGATGTGGGGTGCATTGTGCCATGAGAAATATAATTTGAGGGTGGACTTTGCTAATTTTAAAATATTGGGGTGCAAAGCGCCAATTAGGGTTAATTGTGGGGTGCAAAATGCAATTCACCTTTTTCAATTTAATATATTTTTTTAGGGTAAAATACGAAAACTCCCTGAACTTAGGCTAAATAACGAAAAACACCCTCACCTATTCGTAAATACCAAAAACCCACTGAAGTTTGTTTTCGTCTTACATCAACCCCTTTACGGTGTGACTTTTCACGATTTTTTTTTATTCCAGGAAATAGACTTTACACAATTTCAAATATTTCTTTTATGTTTCACCCATTTAACAGAAGGTATAATAGATTGTACACATTTTCTGTTAAAAAACTCGATCAACAGTTAATTCGATGGGGATTTTGGTTGTTACGAATCGGTGGGGATGTTTTTTGTTATTTATGTTTTCAAATAAACAACATATTTTCTCTATAATTTTTGCCCATACAACAACAGGTTTGAAGTAAAAACAAATGGATTGGCTAAAAGTTAATCAAAAATATTTTATATAGTTAACAGCACGCTCGATTACTTTGAATTTACTAAAAGTGGCTTAGGGCAACTTAGTTGGATAATTTAGGTAGAAAATAGACAGCTTAGATTAAAAATAGTTAATTTAGTTGGAGAATTTGGACTAATAATAGACATCTTAGATAAAAACAACTTTTTTTTCCAATGACGTTGTGAAGGAATTTAGGCGGTCGGTGGCCAGGTACTGATAGGGAGAGGCGGAAAAGTGGAAGAAATACTCTTTCCTGAAGTGAATGTAGTCTTAAGGACGGGTAAGTTGGATGATAATACAGTATTTTCAGTCTCTAGATGACTATTTTCTGTCTAAGCTCTCTAATTAAGTTGCTCGAATAACTTTTAGCAAAATTGAAAATATGACTGTCCTTATTTAAAAGGGCATTGGTACCCAAGCGTGTTTAGCAAATTGCTTCAAACATATATATTTACCGTTTTACTTTACATATGTATTTAGAAAGCCCAAAAATAATATTTTTGTCTATCTTCGTTCATTCTCCCAAATCCCGTGTAAAATGAACTCAAACTCTTGCAAGAGATTTGGGTGTATTTACCCTAAATGAACAAAAAAATTATTATTCTAAAAAATGAAATCCGGGTGCATTTATCCAAAACTCATTCATGAGTTTCCGGTAATTGTACCTGAAATCGTCATACTTTTTGTATTTTTTTAACAAAATTCAAGATTAAGAAAGTTAAATCGAATATCGATCTTTAAAAATTATTGAATTTGATAAGTATGGAAATAATTATACATTAATTTTATTTAAAAACATTAAATTGAAAATCTATGTTTAACAATTATTGAACTCTATGATGCACGGATACTTCAACCCACACGCGTTTCCATGTTTCGGAAACATTTCGGAAATCGAAACTCCATGACACCTGTCGGAAACGTTTTGGGGCCATTTCAATAAATATTTAAAAGTTTCGGGGACGTTTCTTTTAATAACGAAATATTTGAAACGTATTTCCACACAAAAAAAATCTAAGTTTCATTTTAAATAGAAACTCCGAATTGCATAAGCTTAAAAAAATCTTAAATATTATGTCTCATTTTCACTTCTAGTGGTGTTTTTATATTTTGGGGAGATGTGGGATAACCCCCTAGTTTTGAAAATATATTGGGATAGGTCCTATGGATTTTTCTTTGCTAGTCAAAAACCTATATTATAATCTTAATTTGATAGACTCCCTAGACAAATTGAAATACCCGTTTTGCCCTTTTAATTACAATTTAAAACCCTAACTCCTAGCTTTTTTTCTTTTCCACTCCCACATCTATCTATGGGTCGTCATCTCTCCCCTCTCTCTCCCTCTCTCTTTCTTCCTCTCTCTTCATCTCTCTTTAACTCTCTCTCTATCCACAGCCCTCCGCGGCCCATCTCTTCTCCCCCACCGCCTTGCGCCGCCCACCGCCGTTGCTTTCCCCCACCTCCTTGCGCCGCCGCCGCTGCTCCTCCTTGCATCGCCGCCGCTGCTCTTCCTTGCGCCACCACCGCTGCTCCTCCTTGCGTCGTCGCCGCTACTTCCCACTGCCTTTGCGCCACCGCCCCTTTTCGCTTATTCGAAGCCAATCGCCGCCTTGAATCACCCATCCAAATTGAATAGACTCGATGATGCCAAAAACATGATGGATGAGGGTCTGTTTGTTTTAAATTCGTTTTAAATCTCTTTCTACTTCCGTTTGATGAAATGGTTTCTACGTTATTGTTTTAGTTTCTTCTCTTTTTTTTTGTTGAGGGACGGCTCAATCCAGATCTATTATTTCTTATAAAAAAAACTCAGATCTACTATGCTTTTATTTTTTCTTTGTTTTTTTAATTGATCTACTATGTTTTTCAATATTTGTGAACAATTAATATTATAATCTTTTTCTTTGGATTAATTTGATTTTTTTTCTATGATTCTTATCTTGTTTATTTTTGTTATAAATCGTACGTCATTTATTTTTTGTATTTATTTTGAAAATGATCCGAAATGCCTCAAGTGTAAGAGATTTGTTTGTCTGTAGTAGAAACTTAATCAGTAGTGGTTACTTAGATGAGTGATTTGGGTCAGGTAATATACAATTATATGTAGTCATATACAGTTATA